ACTGCCAACAGAGAAAAAATTTCACCAAAAAAGAATGGAAGATGAAGGGGGTGGCAGAGGGGCTGTTATTAAAGAAATAAATATTATTAATATTTCAAGCTTCATGACTAAGAGCAGGGCTTTAGGACCAGTGGACTTGGGGTTCCTGGTTCTACAACCCAATAGGCTTGTGACTGTGGGAAATGTACTGACCTGTTTAAGGTTTGGTTTTCTCATCTGAAAAATGGAGGTAAAAATAAACCCCCAATTCATAATGTTGTCATGAAGTTCAAATTAGATGATGCAGGTAAAGCACTTGGCATGATCTGGGCACAAAGTAAGTTCCATAAATGCAACCTATTTTTATTGTTATTATCATATTTCTGGACACTGGGCTTTGGGGAAGGTATTCTATCATATGCCAAGACATGCTTGAGGGAAAAGTATTTTTTACATAAATGATAGGACAAGGGAAGGAAGCTCACATCTGTGAAGGACCTGCCCTGTGCAAGGCGCTGGGGATGCATGAATGAAAAAGAGAATCCCAGCCCCCAAGGAGCTCACAGTCCTTAGGGGAGGTAGATATGGGAATGCATAATCCCAGCACAGACCAGAAATGTCTTGACAGAGTTATGCCCAGAGGAGGGAACAACTAACTCAAGGTAAAGAAGGCAGCATGGCAACTGGGCCTTGGAAGAGGAGCTGAAGCTGGAGGGGTTACTCCTGGCACAGGAAAACAGCACAGGCCATGGCGGAGAGGCAGGGACACCATGCTTAAGGAAACAGCTAGTGAGTAAACAGGGCTTGGGATTTAGGGTGTGAGAGGAGAGAAGATGAGGCTGGAAAGTTAAGCTGGGGTCAGATGGTGAGGGGTCCTGCATGTCACGCTGAGGTTGTCACATATTGAAGGTACTTACCGCTGGAAGGGCAAAAAAGGAGACTCCAATTAAGGAAAAGGTGGCAGCAATCAGACGGCCTTCCCAAGTTTTGGGTGTCTTGTCTCCATAACCAATGGTGGCCAGTGTGATCTGAAAAGAGAAGAGTTCAGACATGGGGCCCCCTATGGAGAGGAAAATAGTGCTGCGTCGACTGAGCTCTACCTACGAATCTCTGTCTCAGCTTGGACAGAGGTTGATAACAAGATTTCCGTGGGAAATAAGACACCCAATATCAAGTAACTTATATGGGAACCTTGAGACTTGTTTATAAGTTAAGGATTTCCTACCTGTCAGGCAATCAGTCAACAAATAATTGCAAACATATATATGTGCATTAATGTGTACATAAATTTGCAAATGTGTGATTTTATGAATTGTCATGTTTATGAATATGTGCACTTGTGAGTGTATTCGTATGTATTGTGTGTATATGTGTGCATGTCTAATGTCTGTGCACGCATCTGTTCTGGTCTGTGTAGCACATTTCTGTGTGTGTTTACATGTTTATGTTGTCAGTACACACGTACTTATGCACATGTACATGCACATTGGAGGCAGAATATTAGAGCAGTTAACAGTGTGGTCTTGGGAGCCTGACTGAAATCAAATCTCAGGCCAACGTCCTACTGGCTGAGAGACCTTTAATTAGTTACTTAAACTCTTCATGCCTCAGTTTCCTCATTTTTCAAAAGAGGCTAACAATAGAGGCTGTTTGCATTTAAAGTATGTTAATAAACGTAAAGTGCTCAGAGTGCTGCTCTAGAGCAAAGTAAGCCTTCAGTAGGTGCTACACATTCTTGCAGGTATGGGGACGAGCACACACAGGTCTGCATACACACATGTATATCTACCACTGGGTTTGTTTGCACATGTGCTGCTTGGCTAGTAACAGCCTATGACTAATAAGGTAAGATCCCTAAATGCAACCGTATAATTCTAAGCTCTGATTTCTTATAAATACTAGGGAAAAGTCCATTCCAAGTGCATGCCCTAGTGGGAGGGAGTCTCCTATCATCAGGTTCAGAGATGGAAGAGCTCTACCTCTGACTGCAGAAAGCAGCTTGCCCGACGGAGCATGTCTATGCCATACCCTTTTTCTCTCTCTGACTCTAACACTTAATCCCCATAGAGTTGGCCTTCAAAGTAGTGACTCACCAAGCCCCACCAAAGGGCATCTGCATAGGTCTCAAACTCCTCTTTCATCTCCTCTCCTTGTGCATCCACCTCTGGCACATCTTTCTCAACCAGGTAGACAAGAAATGAAGACAGAATGAGCGTCAGGAAACCGATGTACCAGGCAGTGATGAGTTCCTGGGAGAGTGAACAGCAGACAAGGGAAGTGGTCATTGGAAAGTCATTGGGTGGATGCTGGAGCCACACACCCTGGAGCTGGAGTCCAGGTATATCATCAGCTCAGTGATTGTGGGCAAATTACTCACCATCTCTGATCCTCACCTCCTATCAATGTAAAATGGTATCAGTAAATACGGTCATTAGTTACAACAGTAATGCACAGAACAAATGTATGACTGTAGGAGGAGAGAAAGATTTCTGGCCTAGAGTGATATCATAGCTCAAGAAGCTTTGCAGGAAAGTGAGAAGGCAGGAGGAAGTGGCTGTTGCCTGAGACAGGGCTCAGGACTCAAGAGACTCGATTCTATGTAGGAGTGCGCAGAGCAGGGAGAAAGCTCTGTGCTACCAGGAAACCAACAGCAAGGGAGAGCTAGCGTGGCATAGTGGGCGGGGACCAAGCCCTGCCCCCAGTTCACTGTGTGGCCCTGGGCAAATTATTCTCCTCCTCTTTCAGGTTAGAATTCTCATTTTTAAAATGAAGGGACTGGACTACAGAGTTCCCGACAGTGTTAAGTGTACCACTGGTGGAGTGCAGATATAAGTTGTTTTTATGTGAAATACTGATTTATAACATATGAAAAATAAGAATAAGTAACACATAAAACCCCCAATTTGGTGAGTATTATCACATGATGGACTAGAACATATGACTCAGTAAACAAGAGTAAAGTTATTGAATGAAAAATGATAAGTAATTAGCAAGGACCATGCAGAGACAGCAAAGATCCACATATCACTGAAGTTCTGAAAATCCTGATTGAGACAATCCCTGATGCTCTTTCCAGCTCCAACCTTCTCTATATCTCTCACTCTACCCCAATTCCAAGGCTGGATGTGACAGGTTGGGTAGGATAAAAGTCGGGGTGATTGGCGAACACAATCTGGAGATTCAGCCTGTGACTCCTGCTGAGTCATCACAGAGAACCAAGTTGTGCAAATTGACATCCTTCCTACATCTGACCATCCGCAGCCAGTCGGCCGCCTTCTGGGTCAACAGAACCTCACCCACAGCCTCCTGCCTCCCTCCGTGACTTGGGTCCTGCGGGCTGAACTGCCCTCTACTGATGGGACCAACCAAAGAGTATCAGGTTATTTTCAGACCCACGCCACCTTCATTATGAAATTGTTCTGGATGTTTGCTCCCTCAATTAAAGAAAGAGTTCAGCTGTAGTTCCTGTATTCCTTCCCTATTTTCCAAATAGACATCTTTATATCTCCAACACTTTATTATTCTCATTTGCTCACGGATCTGGCCTTCCCCACAGTGTCACACGCACACTGCATTCCTGTGAGTTTGCTCTGTGACAGCGAGGTCAGCTTAGATGGCACAGGCAATCCAGCGTCCACTCCTCTTGGCGAGGTCGCTCTGCGGGGAGTTTGCAAGGGGAAAAGGTGCGTTGGATAGTCATTCCCCAGTGGTTGCCGGAGCACGAGCCTCTTGCCTGTGGAGTGTGGTTCTAGTGATTTTATGATTTTTTCATAGCCTCTGGCCCCCAGATGATGTCAGAAGTTTCATCTGTGCTTACCCAAAGAAACAGTTGTCTGTTTATGTGTGCACAGAAAAACTGTTTTGGATTATTAAGAGATGGTATGATAGTCGCCAATAAGGAGTGAAAATGGTGCAGATGTCTTTATCGTAGAATGTTTTGTGCTCTTTTGGGTAGATGCCTAATAGTGCTATTGCTGGATCGAATGGTATTTCTATTTTTAGCTCTC